TATTTCCTTTAACAATTAAATGTACTTTAAGTATTTATAATTAGATTATGCCAGAAAAAATCTAGATAAACATATCCCTACATTTATCGGTCGTAATTATTATTTATTTTCTATCAAAATATTTTCCATTCTATTTTGTCATATTGTTGTTGTATCATTTTATCTGTAATTTGAAATTTTAAACAGCAACGGTCCATCTTTAAATAACACATTCTCTTGTAGACTGCGTGCGTGTTTCGATAATTAGTTTACATCATATTGATGCATTTCAATTGTTTGGGTTCCATTCTTCTTCATTCCCGAGATAATTCCTATAAGATACGTATCTCCAAGAATGTATAAACAGCTATTTCTCGAAACTGACACATTCACTTGAACATAAAAGAAAAACTATTCGCTGCATGCCGTTTATCTCGGTGCAAAGATATTTTGAATATTTCATTTCACTTTTATAATCATCGTACGTAGGTTTTGTAATATGCAGTTGTAGGTGTGGTATTTCTCTTTATTCTTTCTTGTACAGGGTGTTTAACAATAATTAAGTAACTAAAGGGAAGTAAAAGGCTCAAAGTCTGTCGACCACATAAATTTATTAGGTTGGGTTGCAAGCGCTTTCGACCTAAAAGGTCATCATCAGGCAAAAAATTTTTTGTAAGTGAGTAGGTAGGTAGGTACAATCTGCAATAATAATTTAGGATAACAAAACGTTTTTTATAGAAATGCTAGGTGTCTTACCACTATGTGTCCACAGAAAAAATTAAATATGTTGAATTAAAATTTTAAATTGTAAAAATTGTTGTAAAAATTATATAAATTGGCACGTACTGCCTCCCTCATTCGAGGTTGGATATTGTTCAACTTGAACCTCGCCTGCCTGCATCTAATCAAGGTGGTTATAAAAGATAATATCAAATTTAAAGTTCCACATGTGTGCTTAAGGCACCATGTGAAAAAAGATAATATCATAAGTAAGTACAGACACAACCTAATTTGCAATTAAACTTTCTTATTTTCTTATCGAAAAATTGAAATTAAGAGCAAGTAAACTCCAGCTAAATTCGTCTTCATTCGTCTCATAATGATTATAGTAAAGGTTAATTACTTACTATTAGTTTAATATCACATCTTTGTAAAGTTTATTGTTATTTTTTTTAGGTTTCCTTTTTTTGTTATGAGAAAGAAATACATGGTTCCAAAATATAGGAATTCAACAAGTGACCGACCACCTGAATTACTTTTTATGCTAATGAACATTTTTATTACATACCTCAGGGGAGGAAACTATTAAAGAAAAATAAACTATATTATATAGTACAAAACTAAACAAGAATATCACATTATTCATGTTTTTTTTAATTTCCTTAAAAAAGTCCCAAAAAAATGTGAATATTTATTATTGGAGTTTACATCGTTATGCTAAAACAATACTAGAACAACTTAAATAATGTGGATTTTGACTATTTTGAGTTATGCAGATCATTATGATCTAAAAAAATGTTTTTCTGGTGCTATAGTCAGGTATAAAAACATTCATTTATTTAAACACAGTTGCAATATACATTTTATTTAGTTTTTAAGTTAAAACCTATTAAGACATCCTAAAATGACTTTTTTCGTTTGATGTGAGATTAATTATTCTACATTTTTGTTGGTGAAATTGAATATATTAAGATGTCTTACTGTTTTCTCTGATTATCTAGAAAGTTAGAACAATATACAAAGACTGTTATAACAAAAAAGAGATATACCTTTACTTAAACACACAGTCAGTTCAATTGTACGATAATTTAAAGCAGAAATCCAGAAAACTTTAAAAATGTGTTGAAGTGTTTTTACTATAACAAGGACATAATCTGAAATACATTTTATTAAGAAGCTCTAAGGGGAAACCATTGTTGATAAAATGTATTTCAGATTTTTCAACAAATTTAGATTGTCCTATCCCACCATCTCACTTAATTCTTCTAATTCCATTGTTCCTAAGGTTTATTCTGGTTCTATTCCTTTCTTGGGCCGTGTGTCAGATGAACTAGCTAAAATATTCAGAAAATTCAACATAAACATAGCCTTTAAAAGTACCAACTCACTTTACTCACTTCTAGTACGGAATAAAGATCTTGTACCCACTTTTTATAAACCAGGGGTATATCTACTGAATTGTAATGATTGCAATGCCATCTACGTCGGCCAGTCAGGAAGAAAGACAGAAACCCGAATTTTAGAACATTACAAAACCATCAACAGATATAAATCCTCGAATATTTTAGATACCAATTCCACATTTGCTAATCATGTTCTCTATACTAAACATAACTTCACCTTTCCAGATAACGCCTCTCTTCTTATCCAAAGGCATTAGGCTGGACTTACTTGAAATGTATTACATTCATCAACATATTAATAACCCAGATGTGGTGTGTTTAAATGATCAATTACAACCTACATATAAGCCTATCTTTTCCAGATTAACCTTCTAAAGTTTCCTAAATCCTTTGTAAATCCTTCAACCTTTTACTTGTAATAATATATATAATAGCCCCCTTTTTTTTTCAAAAAATTCATATATATCATAAATTTCCTTAACCTAAATCTAATGTCTAATGTCAAATTCTTCTTTTTTAAAAAAATCAAATGTCACTCTAACTTTATAACACCAACAGAATTTACTCGTGGCCTCTCCAAAGTCTTGGACATCCTGTCAAATTGTTTAAATTTATACTATAAAATTTGTCACAAAACTAATTTAGCATATTCAATTTAACTAATGTCAAATTTAATTATTATTATCTCAACCATAATTGTAACTACGTGTCTTCCATCATATGTCAGTTGTCAAATGTCGTAAATTCTCCACCATTTTCTCATTCAACTTCACCCTTGAATGACGAAGGTGTTAAGTAAAATTCCCTAAGTTAAGTAAAGTTATTAATTAATGATACCCCTTAAGCCTAGGCTTAAGGGTGTACACAAACCAAACTCCGTCTACCCCATTTGTACTGGGGATAGGGGGAGTAACGGTATTTTTCTAAAAGTTACTTTTTTCACATGATGCCTTAAGCACACATGTGGAACTTTAAATTTGATATTATCTTTTATAACCACCTTCATTAGATGCAGGCAGGCGAGGTTCAAGATTGAACAATATCCAACCTCGAATGAGGGAGGCAGTACGTGCCAATTTATATAATTTTTACAACAATTTTTACAATTTAAAATTTTAATTCAACATATTTAATTTTTTCTGTGGACACATAGTGGTAAGACACCTAGCATTTCTATAAAAAACGTTTTGTTATCCTAAATTATTATTGCAGATTGTACCTACCTACCTACTCACTTACAAAAAATTTTTTGCCTGATGATGACCTTTTAGGTCGAAAGCGCTTGCAACCCAACCTAATAAATTTATGTGGTCGACAGACTTTGAGCCTTTTACTTCCCTTTAATCTACTTCGGACCACTTTGAGATATGGATAATATTTGGAATTTAATTAAGTAACTGTTTTGTACTATATATAAAATAAAAATTTACACAAAAATATTACATTTATTGGTTGCTACAAACAGTGAAGAAGTCAGTAATTATTAGATCAGTTTCTTAGGTTGATTTAGAAGTTATGACATGCAACAGATACATAATAAATAATCTTATGCTCTCAGATATAATGGATGTAATTACGTTTGAAATAAAATAAAATAACTTTATAGGCTTGAACAATAACTATCATATATTATATATATATATATAACATTATTTAATTATATTACATAACTAACAGAAAATTATATTATACCAGTGTTTTTACTTATAACATACACACAAAATGTATGTAACTACATTTATGGCACTTGTTACGTCATAATAAATAGTATTTAAGTACTATGTCAAAATATTATTTTGAACCTACCTTTCGAGAAAACTGAACAATATTTTGGAGAATGATGTGTTTAGTTATTTTTCTACTAGCGTGCGGAAAAAACTTTACACTTCATGTACGGTTTTTAATTTGTATTAAAATTAATGTCAGAAAGAATCATTTTCCCGAAAACTACATTTAAAGTAAAGTAACCAGTAGCGGCGTGTGGTAGATTTGTGTGTTTCAGATTTTGGTGAAGGTTCGTCCTTAAAATTTGATTGAAAGAAGTCGCAATTTTGGAGAATCATATTTCTTTATTATGTACCTAGCAGTATTGCCAATGGACGGATAATTTTGCTGTTTCCTATGATAAATTGCGGAGAAATTAGTGTAATATAAATTTTTTAAATTCTCTACAATATTTTGATAATTTAAGAGTATTTATCACGTTGAGAGTTGTTTGAAGAATTTAATCTTTCACAAGAAAAACATGCTAGTTATTGTCCTGTGGAAAATCTCGTATATTTTCGGAAAATTTGGTTATCTTTTGTGGAATTTCGTTCTGTGTCGAGTAATCGATCTTAATTTGATCGAATTATGAAAAGCATTCTATGATTCGATCTGTTTGGATAAAATAATGAAACATTTGAACTACTCCGACTTTTAAACGTCAAACAATAAAAATTAAATTGTATTTCTTTATCCTTGACGTGAATTATTTACTTTTTATGATTATGGGTATGGTTTTTGAGGGGTTATGAAGCCTATGAAAATTGATGTTGACGGTAACTTTCATTTATTGCATAAGAAATATCTTAATAAATTATTTGACTGGAAGATGAACTTTAAGAAAGTGTAGTTATTGTTGTAGCTGATCAAACTTTAATCTATTTATGTACAAGCTATAAAAAAATACTTAATTTATGTTTTAGTTTACCCTCAGGCCCTATTTAGATATAACTCAAAAATATTATGATGCTCTGAGACGTGTTTATAAATTGCTTTGTAATTCTTTATTTTATTAATGTATTAGAATAATTTGAAACTTGTTCTGCTTGAACTGACGGAATATGCTCATTTTGATTGATTTCTAATTAATTTTCCATTGTCTTTTTTAATTAATATTATTATTATTTGTTACAGGTATGTTAATTGTAACCATTTCTTGAAGTTAAATAATTAGGTAAGTCCAAATGAATTTATGGTGTTATTATTATTGCGAAATATAAATATTATTCGCCGAAGAAAGGATGAGCTAAGAGATATAAGGATTCTTTTGAGTTTCCTGAAAATCGCTGTGAAAAACTTTTTCGGCTAAATAAGGAGTGACTATCTGTGTTTATATTTTATATAAAACGGCTTTTCGTTACGTGTTACATACAATATTTTTTCTAATTTTGACTAAATTATTTATAAAATGTTGTTTTGGTAAAGCATTACTTATCCGGTAATAATTCAAGCTCTAAGGAGATTACTAGTGAAAATTTTTATGTTTTGACGTCACAATTACGCCCCCTAGCGGCCACCCTACAAACTTGAAAATAATTTCCAGCAATTTCTCTTGGCCGTTTTTATTAAAAATATTTTTTTTTTCCCAAAGCTATACTATTATTAGTTTCTGAATGGAACACCCGGTACAGATTGTCGGAAACCTGCCCTTGTGAACCGCCCGGTATATATCCACATTCAGTCTCTTTTTATGTGAAGATATTGAGATAATGATTTGTAGTAGGTAGGCTGAACTAATAACTAGACTTTGTTGTTCGTTTTGCTGCGAGCTGTAAATAGCAGAAGACCTAACTCACCTAACCACAAATAATGCTAATCATAGCTGGCTAGATTATTATGAACGTAGGTTGTAAATAGAGACCCAGACGTATTGCATATGATCGAGAAATTTTGCATAACATTATGATTGATATATGACGGAAAAAAGGAAAACTAATATTCCATTTTTGTTATTATATAAACTAGGTGCACGTAATGCATTATAATACCGTTTTTTTTTGTTATAATATTCAATATGGTTGTGTTTACTACTAAGTCATGTAGTAATAGAAAAAATAAAACTTCTGACATCATCGATCAAGAATGTGGATACTAAAATAATCATAAATTTTATATTAGATATTTTATAGACGAATTAAAATACTCATGACTGATAAGACATTCATTTCATATGTATTTCCTTTTTTTAAAATAAATATTAACAATAACTTGAATTAACATTTATTATTTAAGCGATACCTATATTATTGTATTAAAATAATCACGGTTGTTGTATGGATTTATAGTAACTAAGTAGTAAGTGATACATTTGTTAATAAAATACAGTTGGGTGAGTAATAATAATTAAAATTATCTGTATATTGACTGAAACTCAAAAAAATATTCTTATAGAAATAATATTTTAAAAATTGAGGGAACAGAGCCGAAGTGTTTTGTTACTATCCGGCTTTGATTGCTCTGAATTTCATGATGGCTGCCGTTGAAAGATGTTATCATATTTTGTTGTTGCTAACTTTGATATATAAATACATAGTTTCTCTTTTTGATGTCAACGATTTTAAAAAGAGTTGTTGCTTTTAAAATAAGTGAATAATATAGAAGGACAAACAAACGCCAAAATTGGCGTAATATATTATGAACAGCGGTGGTTTCTCCATTGGTTCATTTATGCAGTGAACACCCAGTTAAATTTCATAAAAACACATTATTTTAATATTACATAAGGTTTGTTCCAACTTGGTGTTTGGTACCGTTCTTGTATCATACCAACATCAGTTTATGAACGATGTACTGCGCAAGCCCATTTCTGAATGGTTTTGGAATCGAAAATAAGTTGGAACGCTTTTAAAACTGCTGATGGTTCATAATTAGATAAGATAGAAGAGGAAGAAAATTCTAACCAAACTTTTCGAAAAGAAAATAAAAATAAACTAGTTTTCTGTTTTATAATTATGGATGTTATTGATTTTTTATTGTATCATTCTATATTCTAGAGCACAATGGAAAATATTGGTAAATAATGAGTATATTCTGTTCAAATAATTTTGTTTATTATCATTTCTCAATTTACCATTAATTCTAAATCATCGTCACTAGCATCATCATCAAAAAAATCACTGTCTCCTTCTATATCACTCATTTTCCAAATATGATTTATAAATAGTATTTTCTAAATAAAAATGTATATTTTGTTATTATCTACCTATAAAAACGCTGTAAATTTGTAGGTTAAGTTAACTAAAACTAACCTCTATCGGCTCTATCAACATATATCGATCGCTTTGCGCAAGTCAGTTCTAACAGTTCCACAAAAATTTGTGAATCGATATGACGGTACAGAAACGATGCCGGAATCATTCATTTTTTAGTTGGAACGAATTCTGTATCAACCCGCACATCGTACAAATTAAGTTGGAACGCTTGGAGTGTAATACGCATGAGCTGTACCGTTACGGAATGGTTATGTATCAAGTTGGAACAAACCTATAAATAACAAAAATATAAATTTAATTTTAATATTTTTATTTTCATACGTGTTAATCTATATTTTTTTGTACATCATTGTCCTCTGGCTGATCGCGTCTCTGTGTCACAGTATACCTAAGTATACTGTGTCTGTGGCGCATTATGATGAGTGAGCCTAACACGAGTGAGACAATATGACGAATGCATATAGCTAAAAAGAGAAGACAACACGCCAACAGATCCTGCAAACTGTCAAAGAACACATTAATTGGCGCGCCGCTCACAAACAATTTTTAGCAAACATCAAGCTCTAAAAGGAGAAGAAGCCCTTTCATTATAAAAAAAAATCTGATTAAATATGAGGCATTTGATATGTAGCGCATGGACATTTGATTTCAACCATTAATTCATCTCCTACAATGCCGTCTGGAGTAGCACCTACAAATTTAAAAATTATTATTTTGATTTAAAATGAACTAATTTGCAATATGCTATAGTTGAGATGTGAGTAAAAATGTGGATATTTTTTGTCAATAAAAATTCTTAAGTTTTTCCTTTTTCTATATCTTACCAGTATGATTCCATTGCGACTATCTAGAGCAGCGATACTCATAGTGTGGTCTGCGGAGCCCTGGGGCTCCGCAAAGCCTTAGTAGGGGCTCCGCGAAGTAAAATAATAGTCATAATAAAAAAAGTAGTACTATGGTACTATCGCTACAAAAGGGAGGGACTTGGCTTGAGGACCTGTTTTTTTTAGAGTGACTAAGAGGAAGGACGATATGATTTTGCTCTGAGGACTTTTTTAGAGGATAGAGGAAGGAGAATATGATTTTGGACCTTTTTTTGGAAGTCACCAAGAGGAAGGAGAATACGATTTTGTTTTTTTTTTGTGGGGGCTTCGCGAAGAAAGGGGAGAGACCTGGCTCAAAGCCTGTTTTTTTAGAGTGACTAAGAGGAAGGATGATATGGACATTTTAGAAATGTGTTTAGGGTATGAAGACAGTCTTCATAGTTTAGGGCTTCGCTTTTCAAAAAGGTTCCGTCACCAAAAAAGTTTGAGAACCACTAATCTAGAGCGTTCTCGATTTTTTTCATATTTACCTTGCTTTTCCACATTTCACTTAGTTACTTTTATATCTTTATTATACAATAACGCTTCCTCCACCAAAATTTTAATTATTATATAAATCAAATTTGATATCCGCCAAAATCTCCGACCTAGTGAGGTTTAAGTCCATACGATACACATAGGCCATAAATGATTTTTCAGTGCCTATTTTAGAGACCTTTTTTTGTGCATCATTCTTTATTACTGAGGCCCTTCCTATGGGGCCTCAGTATTTCATTCGTGCAGACGAAAACATTTTCTTACCTCCATTTTTTAAAACTTTTTCATGTTTCCGATCATTAAGAGTCGGAAAATGCAAAAAAAAAATTTTCGTCTGGTCATCTGTGTGTATGTATACCGGCACGATAACTCTAGAATAATTACTTCTAACTTGGAACCCTATCGATTTTCTGAATTTTCGGTTCACCCTAACTATTTTAATATCAATTTTTTTAAAATCCGTCTATGCATTTCTTATGTGACTATTTTAGGAATTTCAATTATTTCTTACGTCAACATTCCTAATATTCTTAACATTCCATAAATTGAAAACATTCTCTAACGGCCTGTCAACAACTGTTGATAGTAAAGGTGGAATTTCTAAGCCGGGTTGCGACCTTCATACTTGCAACCATAGCCATTTTGGAAGCTATTTTTATTCGAAATTAGTCGCCAAGCCTGCCAATTTATGAAAAATATATAAGCAGTTTCTTAAAAATGACTTTTTTATGGTGGTGCTAACTTAAGCGTACTATTATTTCGCCCCTAGCCACAAAAACACCTTCATCAAATTTTCTGGCTCTCTATCGCAACCCCATTTTATTTGGCAAAAATCAGAATAAAGCTTGGCTGTGCCCGTCAAGTATCAAGATGTCAACTGTGATGTGTGAATGGCTCTTAAGTGTAAAATTATTTAAAAATGTATACTTCTTTTGATATTTATTGCAAATAATTTGTAGTGTATCTCAATTCAGGCTTTCCATAAATAAAGGTACAGCAAGACAGATAATATAATGTTCTTATACAAAGCACTTTTTTATTATATTAAAGGGATATCAAATTTGGATCATTTATGATACCGAGGTATTTTGTTGTGTTTTTCATTTTAATTATAAAGTTGTCATTTATTTGTATGTTGAAAGAAGGCCTTTGTAAATTACATTGCTCTCTATGGATCTACTTTAACACAAAAATAGTTTTGTGGCTAAAAGTTGCTATAACCTATCTTCGCAAAACTATTAATAATTTAAACATAGTAAGTGGTATTAATATAACATATTCTCTTTTTCAAGACTTGAAGAAATTGCCTTTTTTGGAGCTGTCAAAAATCGGAATATGTAAAGGTAACCGAAAAATTGGAAATTGTAGGGAAGTGTACTTTGCAAAATAATTTTTTATAATATAAATAAAGTAACGGCATATAAAACGGCATATAAAATGATATATACGGACTTCGTAGATTAAATTTTGAATGAAAAAAGTTATATAAAAGAAACAATCTGATAATTTCAATTCCTTTTTCTTGAGCCATCTCGACGTATTCGAATAAACCTTCACACGTTGTAAAACAAAAATACGGAGTTTCTGTTATTTTTAAAAGT